CACCCTCCTTTGTGACGTTCCCAATTTCCCTTCAGCATACAATTCAATACATTGTTCGCATCGCTCTTGGGCCGTGTGGACCTGCTGCGCAGACGCTCCTGATTGAGTGGCTTTTGCGCAGTTTACCTATTTTCACTTGGATATCAAAATGGCGGAACGTACAGGACGGAGAATAAATATTATCTGCTTTGAGCTGGTTCGTGGTACGTTAAGGGGAGATACGATGAACGTCCTTCTTCCTAGCATCATCAGGATACATATGGTATTCCCCAATGAGGAATTGTATGGCGTCGCCCCTTAATAGTTTGACAAAATCTTCGTGAAATTTGTATGAGCCGGCTTCTACACAAGAATTGTCGAGCTTTAAACCAGGAACAATGCATGAGTGGAATTCAGCGATGGATGTCATTTTACATGACGTCTCTAAGTACTTCACAATGGGTGAAGGAAACGAAATGTACCCTTCGAGGCAATGGCATATGGTCTACAGGAGTTTTTCAGCAGTTATGGGACAGTGCATTCTGCAAACCATGGGTGTGTTGAAGATGGTCCGTATGAAGGCTGCCGGAGGGTTCTTACACCCTTAAAATGTCTTAACAAGGCCTAACCATCCATGTACGATGACCGGTTATAGAACACAGGGTTTTTGTGTACTATGCTAGTCAAGGAAAACATGTCGTTTGTGTACTCTTATGAGCACATGGCAGCCCAGTGTCCTAGGAGGCAGGCTCCCTCGAGTTCTGGGGACTCCAATTGTGATTCAGCAGCCGTGTGATTTGGTGCCTGGCTCTGGTGCCTCGGAGGCCGGGGGACTGACCTCTGGAGCGAGGAGGTCGAACGGGAGGTGGGCGGCTGAGATGTGTGTCACTCTCCCAGGGCGTTGGGGGAGTCGAAGGTGACATCTGAGGAGTCTTTAGTCCAGGAAGCTTCGACCCAGGATGGTTCATTGGCAGATGTGATCAAGGATTTCTGGATGGGGAGGAAACCCTGTGCAGAAGGTGTCCTCAGTTTATTGATGGACGGAGTGCTGGAGGGACAACAAATCGTGGAGGAAGACTTGAGTAAGAAAGGACTGGAGTGTGTGGCAGTCGTGGAGGTACACCAGGAGGATTCGCCTGATGGTGATAATGTGGTAAAGGAAGTTCTAGGAAAAGAACTGCTGCGTCAGAGATAGACGAGGTCATTACCCCGGGGCAGAGGCCGTGGAAGAGGGCAGCGGTGGTGGAGCCGATGCCTCGTAGTGGTAGAGGTGTGCCTGAGTTGCACAGTGGGAGAGGGAGGGGGGAGGTGACTGCACAGGAAAAATCGAGTGACAAGGGAACACGTAATGTGAAAAGTGCAGTGAGTAAATCCCAGCGGCATAGGGGAAAGCCGCCCCTTCTATAAATTTCAAATGTGTCACGCTTAATGTTAATGGACTTAAGACTGAGGTCAAGAAAGTTTGGTTGGAGTGGTTTTTACGGCGGTTTGATGTCGACATTTGTTTTTTGCAAGAGCATAATCACAGGGCTGGATGTGAGTTGAGGGTGAAAGGATATCGGATGTATGTTACCAGTGGTTTGCAATTGAAAGGTGGGGTAGCAGTGGTGGTAAAGGAGACCAGCCCCTTGCGTGTCATGGGTTGGGAAGAGGGGGGGTGGGAAGGTCGTGAGGTGTCTGGGGTGAGAGTCGAGCTAGTTTTGTAGGTGTTTACATGCCAGCAACTAGTAATACCAGGGTAAAAGTAGATTTTGTCAGGGAGGTATTGCTGTATCACTTGAGAGGTTTGCCTGCTAAAACAGTAATAGGAGGTGATTGGAAGTGTGTGATACGGACTGGTGATGTTGAACCGAGAGGGGCGAGTTGTGTGTTGAGTGTTCTGAGGGGTGTATTGCGAGATATTGGGGGTTTTTGATGTGGTGGGAGGGGGGATACCTAGTGGAGCACATTTTCGTTCGTCCGTAGGGATATGAGGGGCGATTGGACAGAATCTATATTAAGCAGGGTAAAAGATGTTGTGATGGTGCAAACCTTCGATGTGGGGGTTTTTTGATCAACAGGGGGGTAAAAGCAGATCTGATGTGGGATGGAGTGGTGCGTTTTTGTTCTGGTACTGGAAATTTAAATGTAAGGCTTCGTAAGGAGGAGGGGGAGGGGCCTTTTTTCAGTAATTGGTGGTTTCATTTTTGGAGGCTAGGGAAAAGGGAATAGATCTGTTAGATTGGTGGGAAATGCAGGCCAAACCTGAAAAAACGAATTTTTTTTAAGGTTAGGGGGCGAGAAGAGGCGAGGTGGCGTTTTGGGGTTTAAAAATTATCTGGAGGGACAGTTGCAAGACGTTATTTGGGGGAGGTGGTAGGGGGGATGACATGGCTAGTCTTTGGAGTAGAATAGCTGAATTACACAATGATAGGTTTGATGCAATTAGGGTTAGGGCGGGGTTAGAGGACGATTGTGGGGTGATAAGCCATCTGGGTTTGTTTTACGTAAATTTCGAGACCGACAGAAGTAACAACCATTCTACAATTGGAGACTACCCGGGGGTGGGAGGGTATCCAGAGGGTCGGGTCCTATCCAATAACGGGAAAGTATGATCTCTATGCTGATAGTTGGTTTAGGGAAATGGAGTAGGAGGGGGGGGGTTTTCCTGGGAGGGTATTTTTGGAGGGGGGTTTCCATAGTGTTTTAAGGTGCAGATAGTGGGGTTGGAGGGTGGTATAAGTGAGGTTTAGGTGGAAGAGGCAGTTTTTTGGGATGAGTACCAGGAAACACCAGGGATAGATGGTATACCAAATGATTTTTATAGAGCACATTGGGGGGGTATTAGGCAATGCTTTGTTAGGTATTGGATCATATGTTAACAGTGGGAAGTTGGGCACTCGCAAAGTACGGGTGTCATAGTTTGGTGCCAAAGCAGAAGGGGGGAAAAAAGTTGAGTGCTTACCGAGCAATATCTCGATGTGCCCAATACAAGTTTTTGCAAAAATTTAGGTAATATACGAAGAATGTCATTGGCTGAACATGGGGCATTTGGGAACCCAGGGAGGAGTATGCGGGTAGGTCATGGCATATTAGGGATTTCCTCGAGGGTAGTAGTAAGGGGGTATTCTAGGTCTGGGTTGGGAGAAAGCTTATGATTATGTGGATAGGGGAATTTTTGATTGAGAGTATGGTGAGAATGGGTTTTTGGAGGGAGGGGGGGTGGGGTGGGTGAGGACATTGTTGAGGATGCATCGATGAGAGTACAGGTAAATGGTAGGTTGAGTAGTCCTATAAGCATGGGGGGGGGGTTAAGGCAGGGTGTCCACTCTCCCCCAAAAACTCTTTGCATGTATGCAGAATCCTTTCTATGTTCTGGTTGATGGTGGGATGGGGAAAGGGTGGGGGGGAGTGGAGGCTTTTGTGGGATATATGTTGTTTATGTAGATGATACAACGTTTTACTTAATGAGATAGAAGATTAAGTAAAGTGGGAAGGGTAATTGAGATTTTTTGGGAATGCTTCTGGGATGAGAGTTTTAAAAAGCAGAAATCACGGTTGCTGGAGGTAGGCGCGACCTTTGGGGAGGAGTTTTGGCTGGATAACTGTAGAAAGGCCAAGAAATTTTTGGGATTTTGTAATTTGGCAGATGCACAGGAGAGCAGGAGGGTTGATTCAAAAAATTGTAATGGACAGAGCTTTTTAGTAGGCTCAGGAGTCTATGGGCGGGGA